TAATAATAATAATAATAATAAATAAATAAATAAATAAATAAATAATCAAATTTATTTCGAAAATTTAATAATAAAAACAGAATTAGATGGATCTATAATGTCACTATCATTTTACTGATCCTAAAGCCCGCGGCTACAAAAGTTGCAATATACGTGTATTATTATTGAATTAAATTAACTTTGAATGTGATGGCAAAGAATAAGACATATTTCTAAAAATGTCATTTTACGTGGACCTAAGTGCATGTTCGTTACAAAATATCGTGATGTTTTTCTGATTTATTATCATTTATTATCAATACACGGCTATATGAAAGGTCCTTATGAATTGCCTAACCAAGAAGTTTCTACTCCATAATAATAATAATAATAATAATAATAATAATAATAATAATAATAATAATAATAATAATAATAATAATAATAAACTTTAGAGTATTTAATTTTTGAATTGTTATAAATCAAAGATAAACTTGTTCACATTTTGTTCGACAATTACATCACATAAGATCCAAAAGGACTCAGCCATAAAATATCAAACATTACTTCTAATAACGTTTATCCTCAAGCTAGCAAACTGTGTTGAAAATTATAAAAGTTTTGATAATGCGATGGTTAAGCTGAAATATATGTACATTCAAAAAGGTCACAACACAACATTTCAAATTTGAAATTATGTGAAAGAATTCGTCGAATCTGATGTGAACGAGATCGCAATTTCAGAACATTTTTTTTTTCTTTCACGCGTTATTTCTTTGTTCAGTTTATAATCAATATTAGTAAACCAAATTTACGACTTAATCGAATTGAATTTGAATTTTAGCGAGTCAAATAATAAAATATCACACAAATATCTTTATATTTTGGCCTTCAGGGCGTGTTTGCATACAAATATATGCGCTCAAAAATGATTTTTGTTTGTTTATCATTATTATTCATTAAAAATTTGGTATGATTAGTTGTTAGTGAAATTTCGAGCTTATATTAAAATAATATTTAAAATAAATAAATAGTATTAATTTGATGGAAGAATATGAGAGAGATGGTGTGGACTGATGATTATTTAAAATTATGTGACTGGATGAATAGTGAATTGAAGTTGATGTGATATGTAAAATTGATGGGTTAATATTATTAATTAACTATTGATAATATTGAAAATGTTGTAGCTGAGTTAATATATTTGAGTTAAATTTTGGTTATGAGTTAAATAATTGATAAACAAACACACCTTTAATAATAATTCGAGTTCGGGGCTAAACAAATCCAGAGCTTATTTAGGCTATGTTTGGTAGTCAATAGCTATGTGGTTAGCTCATACTTCGTGTATTTAAATAAGTTTTGTTTAGTAGGACAAACATTTTGAAAAAAAAAACTCGAGCTTATCTCATGAAGCTTCTGTGGGTATGTTTACAAATAAGTTTTTTTTTTCAATTTTTATTTCAACTAGCTTATCAGTAATTTTACAAAATATTTTTATATATAAACTAGCTTTTCAACTATAAAATTAGAAATCACTAATAAATAATAAGCTAACGTGTCAGTTATTATCTAACTTATCAGTTAATTTTACCAAATATAAATAAGCTTTCTTTCACCAAACATGACCTAATTAGGCATTTTCCCAAATAATAATAATAATAATAATAATAATAATAATAATAATATAATAATAATAATAATAATGAAAAATTTCATCATTATTTCGTCATTGTTGCGTACTCGACCAATAGGAGGAATCAGTCACGAGTGAGGATAAGGTTTCTTTTGGTATATGTTTATATTATGTGAACAAAAGCTATGTTTTGTCTGTTAGCTCATTGAGTCAACTGCCCACACATTTATAAGGAAAGAATCATTTTTTCTTGACCACAAATAATAAAAAGATATTTACCGTTAATTATGGCATAGAGCATCTACTAGTGTAATAAATATATATATTCCATAAATTGTGAAAAATAAATAGAAAAAAATACTCAGTGATTAATTAATTCACAATTTGGCATGAATAAATACAATAGAGTTGGATCATTAATATAGGACTTATACGTATAGGAAGAAAAAAATAATAGAGTTAATTATTAGTTTTCCACTTCTTTTAATCACTGATATTTATTTTAGTCATAACGTTGACATGTTAATAAATAGTATATTATTCTTCTAACAGGTTATACTAAGATAAATTTGATTTTAAAATATATATTTATTTATTGATATAAGAAAATAATATAAAAATAATATTTATTCTTGTTCATCATATAATACTCAATTATTATTTTCTTATGATATTTGTTGACATGTAATGTCATTATTATGATTTATAAAAGTTATAGAAATAATCTTATTTTTCATAGTTATGTAATAAAATTTAGAGTAACATTTTGTGTATAAATTTTTACAAATTACACATACATGTTTTTTAGAATCTATTTTGCTAATAATAATTAAAATCATTTGAGTTAGGCAATTGCCAAATAATAAACTCTTACATAATCAAGATATTTTTCTAATTTGCATCATAAGGCTTTATAGTTTGTTTAATATACTATGCAATATAAATATATAATTCACAATAAATTAATTATTGGAACAAACAAAAATAAAAATAGAAACAATAAAAAAATCATGGTTGACAATAATATACAAATAAATCACATTTTGAAATTATAAAAAAAAGTTAATATATTTTAATTTTATTATATAGCTATTAGTAAAATTATTTAATGATGTGATCATTATCTCTTAAATGGTAAATTATTTTAATTTCATAAATTTTTTATTTTTTATATAATTAAATAAAGGTTAAAAGATATTATAGGAAAATATTAATTCTCCAACTTGATTTCGTATAATTAGTTAGAAAGAGAAAATTATTTAGTATGTTACGATTGTTTATAAATATTTTAGGATGAAAGTCAACTTTTGTGAGAAACATTTAAAAATACGGTTAAGACTTAAAATCAGTTTGTACGTTTCTGTTGACCAAAATATTATCATCATGAATCACGGAAAGTCAAATTATAGTTTATTATAATGAATATAAATAAAATTACTGCAAATGTTAATAAAATTATTCAAAAAAATAATCTTTTGGATCATATCTTATTAAGAAATGTGTATATGAAAACAATTAATGCATATATTTAAAAAAATTTAATAAAGCATGAATGATATGAGGTTTAATACAAAAAAAAAAAAGTGCGGAAAATGGAAATCTATCAATCTTCTCACCAAAATAAAGTATATTTTGTAACGGCAGCAAGTGATTGAGTTCAGTAGTTCCTCATGTCAAATTATTGACTCTAGAGATATAATCTCAGATTTAATACAAAAAAAAAAAAGTGTGGAAAATGGAAATCTATCAATCTTCTCACCAAAATGAAAGTATATTTTGTATTCTTGTTACAAAATTAGAAATAAGATTTTTTAAAAAAAGTACTATGAATTATCATCATCTAACCAATCGGGGCATTATATGAATCCCCACCACTTGTACCCCCGGCGGGACCTCCTCCACCCACATCCTCGCCGGCGGAGGCGACGCCACATCCACCACCACGATCCTCGTGCCGTCGGCGCACAGCACGCACACCCTCCCGCCGCCTGCCGCCACCTGCTGTGCTCCCCGGAACAGCCCGCAGCCCGCCACATCCTCCCACGAGTCCCGATCTCCGTCGTACCTCCTCAGCACCCCCCTCCCCTCGTCCACCAAGTAGATAGTCTCCTCGTCCAACCCCGCCGCCGGGCCCCTCCACCCTGCCAGCATCCCCGCCGGCATCTCCCGCCAACAGTCCCGAGCTAAGTCGTACACCACCCCTTCCTTCGCCGCCGTCCCCTTTACGTTCACCATGCACAGTCTTCCCCTCCACCCCACCGCCTCGATCGCGTCGCGGCTGAACTTCCCGTCCTTCATATCCGTCATCCTCCGCCACGCTGGAGGCGTCCGCCGCCGCCTCGCGGCGGCAAGATCCGGATCCGGAATTGATTCCAGATTCCACCTCTCGATCGTTCGCGCCACGTCGCAGCTGTATCCCGCTCCCATTCCGCTGGCGACGTAGACGGCGCCGCCGGCGGAGCCGACGGCGCACCAGCGGCGCGGCGCAGCGAGCTGCGGACCTCGGCTCCAGCTGCCGGAGAGCGGGTCGAAGAGGAGTGGGTGGGACAGGGCGGGGAGGAATTGGTCGTCGGTGGCGGCGAGGACGATGAGCTTTCCGGCGGCGGAGACGGATTGGATTGGGAGGTTGCGGCGGATGAAGGCGGGGTGGCGGAAGAGGAAGCGCGGCGGCGGATCGGAGGGCGGCGGGGGGAGGGAGCTCCAGAGACGGGAGATCGGGTCGAATGAGTAGAAATCGACAGGGTCAGGGGTGGCTTCGAGCTGGGATTGACCGTCGGGAAGGACGACGGCGTATAGGGAGAGGTAGGCGGGGAAGGAGGCGGAGTAGATGAGGCGGCGCCACGAGCGGCAGACGGAGTAGAGGATGGACGGAGAGACGAGGGAAAGGCATAGCTGGGCTATATCGTCCGGGAGGCCGGGGAGCAAGGATTGGTGGTGGTCGCCGCCGTGGTGGGAGAGCTTGATGGCGGTGGATCTGGCCGAGAATTCAGGGTCAGAGGATTTGGGATTGGTCATTTGTGGAGGAAAAGAGGAAAAAGAGGGAATATGGATTTGGGAAGCTTTGGGCCTTGGGTTATTTATTTGAGGAGATGAGGTAATCAGTTTTGTATTATTTAATTTCAATAAGCG